GAACGTTTCCATGAAACAAACAATTTTGTCAGTCGCGCGATCGCATGCGTACATTTCCACAGAAACTTCTTTAGAGAGGTTGTCAATTTCAGCAGATATGATGTAATGGGATGATATGTATAAGAGCTTTTGGAGCGTGCTGAGCTCGGGTGCGCTTTGCTCACACTGCTGTTCTTTGGATCCTGCGAGTGGTCTTTAACAGAAGATGAGTTCGATGGCAGACCGGGATCGGACGGCTGAACGGACCAGGAATCGACTGCCGTCTGTCTCTGGTATATAAATACCCGTAAAGGTTGTAGTGGAGTTGTCATAGCTGAGGTTTGTTGGACAACTAAACTGGAGTTTGGCCATAAGCCTCACCATTTTTGATGGCTGTAAAGGTATGCTTATATAATCAAACCCAACTACGCATACTGTATAGAGGTAACCGTGTTGTCCCGCTTGTCAACTCTTGGAGGGCTGGAGAATGAGTCGCTGCTCCTCTGCCCGGAATGGAATGCTGGCCATCTACGGAGTACCCTTCGCCATTTCGTATCTTGTTTCTATTTATTCTCTGCGACACGATGCACACAAACCTGGGGTACACTTCGTCATTGTTCGTTCAAACGAAAGCAATGCCTCATTCTTGTCAAAGATCCAGCACTTCCAACGGGAAAGGCCAGTACGGAATAACCTGCGACCAGGATCATGAGGTGACATGGCTATGGTCAAGGGTATCCCGGCCAGGTACCCCACCAACCAATTAGCTAACAGGCACAACGTCAAGAAGCCGACCGACCATCACCGGGATTTAATTCTGTTGCTTCCTTCACACGAACCAGACAGGCTTTAACACGAGAAATATTATGCGAATGGGTGTGTCGTGCATGAATAATCATTTGTGGATGGTGTCGTTGCTGTCCCTGTTGTTTGTACTGTACATACTTGGGGTACTCCGATTTGACTGGGGAGCTGTGAAGTGGGAAATGCTCTAAAAACAAATGGATTCACCCTAATATTGTTAGTTGTGAGAGCGCGACTTCAATGCTCAACTCCTCGAACAACTCGATACTGGATGGCCGCCCATGCGATGAAATACCTCATCAGGATAAGTGTGAACAGAAAATTATTACTCCGTATTTGTTCGTATTTTGGCCGTCTGTTCATAAAGTAAACTAAGCTTACCGCAGTTAGTCACCTCCAAACTAAACTTTCTTGATCCGTGGGGCTTCCCGTGTTTGACTTTTGTGAAACAAACCCACTTTTCCATCTTTTTTCTGTACTCACTCCGTACTGTACGGAGTACATACAAACTGACATTGCAACTTACAACATGATAGCATAGCAGCCTGCCGTCCAATAACATAAGTGGCATATCTCCATTTGACATGGATCTTCCACTTCGCCAGGCGACCCGAGAATTGCTGTTAAATTATGCTTATTTACAAGGCTGTAAGGACAGGACTCCCCTGCTTTGTGTGCGACCTGGCAAGGGCCATATTCGATCTCTGTTGTAGTCCCGAACTTCGATTTCCAAAGAAATAAAGCTGTGGATGAGTAGCTTCTCTTATCATCATCGTCCTGGCGTGAAGTCAATTCAGGATTTAACATCACCCTTGCATATTTCGAGTAGGATCTTTTTCCCCAGCCCCCTTCCGGGGTGGGAGGGCTGTGAGTAAGTACGTCGTGTTTCTGCACCGGACTGTACTCCGTATACGAGCATATGTTTGAAGCATGTCGTCAAATGAGGGGCGAAGAGGCTGAAGCATTTGTTCTCACCCCTTAAAAAATGGGACCCTGTTAGCGTTGCCTACTTGGCTAGCCGAAAGATTGGAACATAAAAAGCACCACCGAACCCACCTTTGTTGTGATCTATTTCCATCCCTTAGCATCAATAAAACATCATAACTCCCAGGAATTAGAAGTTCACTCCCATTTCCTTTTTGTGTTTTCAGTTCTCCGATCGATTGCCCTTTCCTTACTCCTCCATTGAACACCCCGCCCAAAATGGGGCTCGATAACGCGGTCCCCGCGCCGAGACAAGGCCTCTGGGGAGCTGTCTTGGGCCAACGATCCTCCAATAAAAAGCTATTAATGCTGATCCGCTTTGCTGTCCTCGCCCTGATTCTCTGCTATCACCAGTCAATCATCCAGCCAGTCCAAGCCATTAAATTTGTTAGCCGCAAACAATGGGGAGCCAGACCCGCAAAGTCCTCGATGTCGCCAGTAGGCAAGCCCAAAGGTGTAAAGATCCATTACACTGGCGGACACATGCCCAAAGGCGGCCACTCCGCGTGCGCAGGAAAGTTGAGAGGCATCCAGAGCCAACACCTAAACCACCCTACAGAAGGCTATGGCGACATTGCGTACACTCTTGCCGTCTGCCAGCACGGTTATGTGTTCGAGGCTCGTGGTACCAAATGGCGTACCGGCGCCAATGGCAGCGGACAGTTGAATAGAGATCATCAATCAGTTCTCGGACTAGTTGGCTCCTCGGGCGACACGCAACCCTCGAGTGCAATGATCAAAGGTATCAAGGATGCGGTTACCTACCTACGCCAGAAGGGCTGCGGAAACGAAGTTAAAGGCCACCGTGATGGATACTCGACCGCATGTCCGGGTGGACCACTTTACAAACTCCTCAAGGATGGCAAGCTTAATCCTTCTGGAGGTGGCGGCAAGAAGCCAAAGCCAAAGCCCAAGCCCAAGAATCCCAAGAAGCCTGGGAAGAGTAAGAGCAAATCAGTCAAGTTCCCCGGCGCCTCGTGGTTCCATCGCAAGCCAAAGAGCAGCATCATCACTGCGATGGGTAAGAGATTGGTTGCGGAGGGTTGCAGCGCATATAAGGAAGGGCCAGGCCCCCAGTGGACTGATGCGGACCGTGCATCGTACAAGAAGTGGCAGCAGAAATTAGGATTCAGCGGTAAGGATGCCGATGGGTGGCCCGGGAAGACAAGTTGGGATAAACTGAAGGTTCGGAAGTAAACGCTTTGGAAGATACCACACGCTCTTGTACAGTCGGTGTTTTGACACGGCATTAATCGTGGCATGTGAAATGAGTGCATTTGTTTTGAGTTGGATTGCGAGCCCCCTTGAGTTGGAGAGACTTCAACTCCTGTTGTTTCTGGCATTTTTTCATATACTTCTTGTTTTTCTTTTCTTTTTTTCGTCCACTCTTTGGCTTTTTCCAATACTCCTCTGTTTTCTCCTATACATATATATATTGCATATAGTGTTTCAGTTCTGTATATTCTAGGAATGTTCATTTCCCATTTCCATCTCGTCATCGGTGCATTCATCACAATAGAATGTATTTCCCTAAATTTTGCTCTTCAACTCCTTTATTAGAATACCAGTTACCATATTATTAAAATTTCCAAACATTTATACTCATCATTCTGCTTCTTCATTTTGCTTTCACTTCCATCTCTGCTCTCACGCTAAAATGTCCGGATGATGCATGCCAAGCCGCCGAGTTGACCTTCGAACACCGTAGCACTTCCATCGAACTCGCCCTGGTGTTTATTCACCACGAGAAAATATATTCCGATTAAATGGTTGTGAGGCTTGCTCTTTTGAGTCCACACTCTAAACCCCTCCATGCTTGTTGGCAGATGAATGTTAAGCTATTTGGGCTAAACCTCACCTGAAAAGCGAGGTGTTGACATTGCATCAACAATATGTGTACCCCAAATGTCTGTGCTTCCAGGCTCTTTTCTTGAGATGCACACGGCGAAATAGGAGCAAAAATAAAAATACGAAATAAAAATACAAAACAACAGTCCTTGTCGTGGGCAGCCAGGAGTTTTTATTTCTCAGAAAGGGTTCAACTTGTGCGGTGCAGATCGTCGCGGATACGAGTTGGTCTTCAACACCGCCCGCGATGCCAATCTGATCAGACATTATCTCCACTACGCATGAACGCAACTAGGAAACGACAAATCCATAATCACTGCATCGAGTGGGTGCAGCTATCACCCCACAGCCAACCGGCTCTCGTTGACTTACGAAGGCGATGATCGTTATCCCCGCCTTGATATTAAAATGCTTCGCAGCAATCTGGCGGGGTGTTGATATTCATTCATACGGAGACCCCCAGCCCTTGAACCAACGAGAAATGAGATTGATTTGATAATTCATTGCCTGGGCGCGGGAATGCGAAAACAGGAGAATGGATCACTGCTCTATGATGTTTATTTTTTTCATCCAGCCAATCCTATCTCCTTCTTTCCATCTTCCTACGGGTCTGCTCAATACGTTACTCCTGGCGTCACCGGCTTCATAAGTGAAACTCACTGCCATTGGGTTTACCGCCGATTTTCCTACCGTAAAATGGGAAGCAGCAGCCTATTCAAAACCCCTGACCCAGCGCTGTCCGCTGACAAACTTAACCTTTGCTTCTACCTACGCTCACACCTTCAATTCACACGCCTGGCCCCGACCCGTCGACGGAAGCCTGGCGGAATTGTCGTCCTTGGGGCGACGATGCACTGGGCGACTTTATCCCGCATTTGATGCTGGGAAACAGCCCGCCCTGAATAATGCGTGCGCCCAGAGGAAGCTTCGGAAGAGATTGAGTTTCATGGGGGTTACGCAGCCACAGATGCTCTTGGCGGCGTTTGCTTTGCATTGCTTGGGGAATACGCGCAGCGACGCCTTTTGGCTTGTCAGGCATGCGGTCGATTCGTCTTCTTGCATCGGGTATGATTACCAGACATGGTGACGCTATGCAAACATTAATTCATGGGCTGTAGGATGGATCTTCATCGACAAAGGAATTCATGGCGCGGCCCAAGAGAACTTGGTATTTTTGCATCTGGACCATTTCCCTACAATGCATTCCTGGAGATTATTTCCGTGCTTAATTATGTATATAGCAGCGGCATTTTTAAACCCGTAGAGCTGGTTTTGTGCCTGAGTATACGACCTCTGGCTAAGGGACCTCCTTATGCAAAATTCTTTGCATCCCCTAATGTAATCCCAACAGTTTATCTATATAATCAGCAAAAACAAATTCAGAAAACCCCCGGCGGGGCTCGAACCCGCAACCTTCAGATCTGCTTTTTCCAAAAATTCTGGTAGATAGAAGTCTGACGCCCTACCATTGGGCTACGGGGGCGGTTTACTGAACAGGAAAAATCCTGTTCGAGGCGCCGAATATTAAACAACCCAGAATTTTACGTCACGTGCTTTCGCGTCGTGTGGACCCGTTCGAACCCCGCGACGCAATTGTCGACATCCATTCAGAAGATTCCCCGAGGAAACGAAGGTGAAAACGAAACTTTGCCCAGATAACAATTTCCATTTTTCTCAAATCTAAATCGAGTACTTACAATCGATACCGACCCTCGGCCGCCAGTCCGGAAAACTCTATCGAAATCAAAATAAAAAATGTCCCTCTCAACCCCGCGCCTCCTCCCCGAACATCTGCATGCCTTCGTCCCAGGACCCACCCACTCAGGCCCGAGCACAATCCGCATCCTTGGAGCCGTAACGGCGTTGCGTGGCGAATATGCGACAATTTCTTGTGGCAGCCATGGGGATGTCACTCTAATTTTGAACCGCGAGGCGCATTTGCAGGTTGGCAGGATGGTGGATGTTGTTGGGAAGGTGGCACAGGTGGAAGGCGTATGGATACCCAATATGCATACACTACACCTACAATATGTGCAAAATATTTTCGCTGGTTGAAGCGAAATGTTCATGAATTTTTTTTTTGCTAATTGATGGCATTTATGTGTAGGGACTGGGTGTTCGAGTTTTAGGAGCAGTGGACTGTGGTGATCCAAAGGATATTGGTAAGTTTGGTGATATCGACAGCTACGAAAAGCCGTAAAGTTGTGAGGGAAAAATAAGAAGAGCAAGGATAAAAAAAGAAAAAAAAAAAAAAGGAAAAAGACCTAACTGTTAACTGCCACCACTTCCCATCAAATTTAGACTACAAAATTTACGAACAAGTGGTCGAAGTGACGCATCGAGTAAAAGAAATCTTCTACTAAACGGTCGGAATATGGGTGGATGGGCCGGCGAAAAAAAGAAAGCTCTCCTTTTAACAGCCAATTATTGAACGAACCCCACCAACGGTTCCCAGCCTCCTCATGGGGCGACGTGTTGAGGGAGAAGAAGACTATGGGAAAGAGGCGAATGATCCTGTGGCAATTAACCTCCTGACCATGCATTTGCTTCGGCGGAAGCTGGATATTTGATTTTGGACATGTTAGTGAGACTTAAACGCTGTCGATACAACGATTTTGTTGATATCCTATTTAAAGGCGGGGGAAATCAAGGGGCACTTCATTCGACCTTTTTCATTTTTTCTTAAGGAAACACTTTGGTTGCTGCACAGATATGGCCTATATGGATTCTCCTTGGTTGTTTCGGGTGCATTGGTTAACATTTATTTACCGGTTTCATGTCTGGGAATTTTGTTTCTTTTATGTCTGGCGTTTTTGAAATAGGCCCGCCTGCTTTATTTACTTCTAAGTTTTAGTTGGAAGCCATGGTGGATGAGATGGGGCGAAATGAAAAATATGCTTGCATGATTATTATTCCATAGTATTGGTTAAAACTCTAAGGAAAAAAAAAACGAGCTACAGAATTTCAAACTCGAAATGATGAAGTGATGTGAAGTTGAAATATTCCACTCAATCGTTCATTCATGTTACGTACTAAGTACAGCGCAAACCAAACACATCAACAACTGTGCATGTGAAACGGCGGTTAAACCATCCTCAGTCCCATACTTGGTGTTATCCAACACGATGATAAGGCGAGACAAATGAATCATAAATAGTTTCGTAAAAAGTGGCTGGAAATTCGAAGGGGCAATCAGAACGAAGGACTTCTGAAAACAAGAAACGCTAACTTGAGTATGTACTCGAAAAGAAAAGGTATTTGGATCGACATGCAAAATGTGGCAAAAAGACCGAAACGCCACTGCCATCATTCTATGATCCTTGAATAGACCCCAGAAGCCGATCAATGGATCACATTTATTCATCTAACTACCTTCCTGAGTACTCGATGGAGCCGTATCAGCATCAGCAACGGGATTGTCGTTGACTTCATGCATACATGCAGACTCGACGGCGGCATCCATGCCATTTTCAACAAAGTTATTACTTTTAGGCTGCATACTTTCAAAATCAGGGTCTACCATCGACATATCAAAAATATTCGAGTTATCGATAGCAGCAGATGTGCCATCAAAGGTTTCGTGGATATTTGAATTTGACTCGTCTAATAGGAGACCTCCGAAAACGGGATCGTCTGGGTCAACGTGTAATAAGTCAGAATCTTTCAGTGTCGATGTATGATCTCCATTTGGCTGCTGATTTGATTCTGTGGCATCACCGGCCTGTTCCTGGCCCGTAGTGGCACCCATATGCTCTGAAGCCTTAGGGGAAATGCAGGTCTCAACGGGCCAGTCTGCCCAGTTACTACCAGTCTCGTATTGCGGTGGAACAAAAGGATAAAACGAGTCAGTTTGTGCGACCGAGTCTTCATCCGAGTCGAAGATATCCAAAACAAGGCCACCGAGGGATTCAAAATTCCGTAACTGCGGGCTGGTTTGGAGTGAAGGAAGTTGTGTAGCGTCTTCTCTGAGAAGATTGCTTATCCTATAAGCGCGAGGGGTTAATCCTGATCCTTCTCGACTTGCTCTTTTAAGTTCTTCAGCAGTCAATCTTGATGGCGAAGAATCGATACCTGCATTTTCCTTGGAACTATTCGTTGGATTTCCCGAATTTGAACTTGTTTTGGATTTTTTAGTCGGTGTTAATATAAAGCGCCTATTGTTTTGCTTGGGTGTCGGGCTACCTGGAAATGACAAAGGGCCATTTTCAGTGTCATGGCATTCGAAAAGGTCATCAAGGCCATCGTTAAGTCGTGTGACAGTGCCTTCTCTGGTAGGGGTCAATTTCGATTGCTTGGATGCAACCCGCGGCTTCGCCGTATCACATTGATCGAAGCATCACTTAGGGTCTTCATGGTATCATCATTTTTCGAAGGAGGGAATAGAGACCTGCGAATAGGTCTAGGTGTAAGGTTTGCCTCCATAAATGGTAGATTCTGATTTTCCATATTCCGCGCTGGGCTAGATTGGATCGCGCGATGCAATGCCTTCATTGCATCTTCTTCTCGCCATCGATTTTCGCGCTTATCAGCAGATTTTGGCGGCTCCTCGCTATTCGCTCGCCGGTTAATGGATCGAGAAGGGCGTGGGGCATCCTCATCATTGGCTACGGTCGTATCGTTCCCATTGTCAGCAGGAGTGGTTGCATCATCTCCAGGAGGCGAAGAGGCCTCTGTAGGCCCGGGAGACGATTCACTTCGCTTTGAAGCTAGGGCTTTACTACGGGCTCTCGTTGAAGCACCAGCTGGGGGTTTGGTCCTTCTTGTTTGTCGCTTTCCCTTATCCTTCGGTGGCTGTTTATTCCATTTATTCTCCGGTCGCATGTATTTGAATTTATGAAGCCATAAGCCGCAAGCTATGGAAACGTCAGTCAAGTGTTATAAGAACCGTTAAAGGGCAATCTTCTACTCACGGTTACACAATAAGAGCTGGACAAAGTCCTTATCGTGGTCTGCCAATGTCTTTTTGAATTGCTTGAAAGCTATGACAGTTTTTCCATCTGAGGCAAACTCTTCTGGGCGCCAGAAGAGCATAGCAGGATCATCTTCGTAGGAAGATGCATCTTCTGCGCTGCCTTGTATAACTTTTGACCAAGCCCGTCTCCAGGTCGGTGTTTCAATTGCTCCACAATTTTCACAATAAGGGGGGACAGTCCCTTGACGTATGCATTGCTCTAACCGTGCCTGGACCTGCTTGGTTCTCCTGGCTCCTGCTCCACTTCGCATTTTACTGTCGTCGGAAGCCATTGGAGCAGGAGTGGTGGAGGTCGGAAAGTCACTCATCGGGCCATTCCACGGCTGAGCTTGTTGCTGTGAGCTTTGTGCGGTGCGCACCGGGTCGCTTGCCGGGTTTACCTGGCGGCTTAGTTTTTCTGCTTCACTCTGGGACATGGGAGCAGGGGCAAGAGGTTTCGAATTTTGTCTAATACTGGCTCGTGAAGAAGGACGAGATACGGTTAGTCTTCTAGGTGGGGGTGGAAGTGTGGGCGGTTGTTCATTGGTGGTCGTATCAACCACACTATCACTCATCGGAAATCTATTGTTGTGGTTCGTATGCCCTTGAGAAATGCTTTGGGATGCCAAAGCAGGTTTTTCTTTTTCGGGGTTGGTCGGTTTCTGCCTTACTTGGTTGGTGGAGGTATCAAGATCATCGAGTGTGTTGCCCATACAATTATCGTCGAGGATTGATTCCAAGTTTCCACTCATAAAGCCTGAGTCATGGTCCGGGAGAGGTGGGAGGAGGGGGCTGGAGGTTTGAGGATACATGTTGTCCATCAGTGGGGGTGATGACGGCATGTTGAAAGGGGTATCTATGGCACTTCCATATCGAACATCTTCGGGGGATGTGGCAACGGCCTCGGGAGGCTGTGCATAGGGCGAGGTATACGGAACTTGGCTGCCGCTAGATGACTCACGGCGAAGATTACTGAGCAACGGCCGGGTAGGACGGGTGGTACCAGCGGTGCCTCTAGGAATCGGTGTAGGTGGGCGGACAGGGTCATCGTTCGATGCCTGGGCTCGAGCTGCCGCTGGGTTCATGGGCATGGGGCGGTGGATGCGTACGGACGCAGCAGTACTTGCTGCAACTCGGAGGGAACCCGGCTGTCGTTCTATGTTCATATGAGCTTTGTCCTGTGAATCCGCCCTCAAAAGCTTGGCTCGCTTTGGCGCGGGTGCTTCATTTACTTCGTCACCGCTTGCATATCCAGAGAATGTCGAATCTCGTCGGTCCCTATAAGGTGCTGATTGTCTGCGAGAGTCCGTATCATAGCCAGAAGCCCGCGAAGACGGTCGAAATGCATCCCCGGAAGACCTCTTCTGATGTTGGCAGGCAGGTCTTGTAAGGCCAGGGGTCGAAGTTCGACTGGGTGCAGCGTGAGTTGAATGAGCAGGAGAATCGGCATGATAAGGGTCTGCTGTGGTGATATTAGAAAATTCCCTTGGAGTTGAGCCTTCACTCAGCATCTGGTGCAGCCGTTCAATTCC